AAATCAGAGTCCCGCAGCATCCCAGCATGCTCTGCATCCCTGGATTTGGCTGTACTCTCTGCTCCAGCAGAGCATGGCTGGTCCTGCCTCTCTGCTCCCTGGCCAGACACCAGCCCCAGAAGGGAGCAGGGAAGAGGCTTATTCACCCCCTGTCTCACCAGCAAGGACCTGTCAGGCATTTCTTCACTGGCTGCTCCAGCGGTAGAGGCTTGGCCAGCCCCAGTAGTAGCCTGGAGTGAACTGGCCAGGGAGGGGGTTTAATTCCCCCCTCCCTGTCCCACTGGCACAGAGGTCTACCCAGCACTCCCCCCTCACTGCTGCAGTGGTGGGGGCAGGGGCATGGTCAGGCACCAACCAGCATGGCTCCTGAGGCAGAGGGGGCAGGGAGGGGGGTTATTCCTCCCTCTGCCCCTGGGGGACCACAGCCAGGGTGTGCCAGCCCTGACTGCTGCCGCTGATCACTCCTTGAATGGGGTGAGCTGTGGGATAAGCCCCCTCCTGCCCTCTCCACCAAACACCAGAGGAAGGGGGGAATAATCACCCTCCCTTCCCCCTTGCCTAAAGGGGCCATTTTGACTGGCCTTTGGCCATGTGCCTGCCCCTCCCACTGGAGCAGTGAGGGGGCAGGAACCTTGATGGGGGCAGCTTCCCCTGTCATGGTGTCCAGGGACTGCAACCCTCTTCCCAGTGGGGGGCCATGAGTAGGGGGTCAGAGCTGCCATAGATTGTGCAGGGCAGGTGGTGGCACAAAGCTCAGGGGGGTGGCCATAGCCTCTCAAAATCCGCCCTCCCCTGCTACCACCGCTCACCCTGAGCAGTTTGCAGCAGCTCTGACTGCCCCGCAGTGCAGTCCCCCTGCTGGGAAGAGGCTCGCGCTCTGGGACACCATGACAGGGGCCGCAGCCCCTATTACGGTCCCCCCTCACCGCTCCAGCATCAGTGGCAGGGGCCTAGCCAGAGGCCAGCTGGCAGGGCCCCTTAGGCATGGGGGAAGGGAGGAGGGCTATTTCCCTTTCCCTCTGGCATCTGGTGGAGGGGGCAGGAGGGGGTTTATCCTGCCACTTGCCCCATGCAGGAAGTGATCGGCGGCAGTGGTCAGGGATGGCAGACCCTGGCTGTGGTCCCCCAGAGGCAGAGGGGGTGGAGGGAGAAATAAACCCAGTCCCTGCCCCCTTTGCCTCAGGGGCTATGCTAGTTGGTGTCTGGCTATGCCCTTGCCCTGGCCACCCCCCCAGCTTCCCTGCAGCTGAGGGCTGCCCCAACCTCCTGCACCGCCGCTCCAGCTCCTAGCCTGAGCCACTGCAGGCATGTGCCTGTATTTCTGTAGTTAACAGTGAATGTCTGTTCACTTGCAAATTGGTTTAATCTAGACAGGTTAGACTAACCTGGAAAGATTGAATCAATTCAGACTCTGGCTTTTTGAATGCCTATACCTAGCCTTGGTGAACAGGACAAATGACCTGTGAAATGGTATCCACTTGCAAATATTTTGGCCATTTTGGTTAAACTTCATTCAGTTGTAGGGATAATTAATTGCTATCATCATTACCATGTCACGGAAGAGCAGCAGAACGCCCTGCATTTGCTCTGAGTGTATCCCAGCTAAAACTTGAATGATGCCCCCAATATTACAGGTGTTTGGACTCCCAGAAAGAAGGGGAGTGGCTGGCTCACCTGTAGGGAAAGGTGAAGTCCTGGTGGTAGGGACTCTGCTGAAGGGTTCTCTGTATGATTTAACACCCTCCTGTGTGATAATACATCTGAATGAACACTAGGCAGGACTTGGATCTGATAATGGCTCAGATAAGTTGAGAGCCTGAAAACCCGGGTCTGACATCATACAACAGACAATACAGAAGTGATATGAAGCAGCTGTTTAGCACCACTAGAGTTCTGGTCACTGTAGCTGGGTTAGTCCCCTAAAGATCCAGATCTGATATTGCATTCAGAGACAAGAGTCTGATTGTATTGTGGCTGCACCTGGCAGTGGCTGTTCACCAAAGCTGGAGAAAATGGTTACAGAGCAGTCCCCTTTGGCACAGGACTTGCAGACCTGAAAGCACAACATGTTACCTTATGACTGAATTAGATTGGCACAGGGTAATAATTGCACTGTGAGGCAGCACAGAGGGTCAGGATTGAGCTTACACAGTCATAAGGCCTTTGGCCTGAAGAAGTATATACCTGTCTTGTACACCTTTGGAATTGCGGGGTTTGTTAACTGCTGACAAAAAAACTATAAGCAAGGTACAACAAGTAGGAAGGGAAGGGTGGGGGCATGTGAATGGGGTAGTTGCATATAGATGCTGACTTTGTTTTTTGCCAAGAGGTGCTTGCAGATGTAAAAAAAAGGGCAATTTACTTTTAACTTGGCACATTCCTGTGCTGAGCCCTGCACATGCCCAGAAGAAGCAGCACATTACTTCAACCCAGCTCTTCAGTGTCAGTAAAGATTGGGTGCTTTAGTAGGGCTTTTTTTGGTGTTTTTATCTAATAGCTGATTGAATCAGTTTTAGCTAACAGTGCCAAAAAGCTCCACTAAAGCACCTAGTCTTTACAGTTGCTGCCAAGCCGGGTTGAAGTAACACACTACTTCTGGTAAAGTACATTTTTGGGGTGTTTGTTTTAACTTTTGCAAGCTGCAGCCATGGCTCCATGGGTGCTGAGCACCCACTAACCTTTTTCAGTGCTTGAGCCCTGGAGCATCCACGGGGTTGGCACCTATGGATAGTTGCCTGCGGACATTCAGACTGGCTAGTGGGGAAATTGAGGCAAGGAGCTAATGGTAAAGCTACCATGAGGAGTGGTACTGTACTCAGGATTTGCATGTTGCATTTATTGTTGTGCTTTCCCAAACTAATTCTGTGTTCCTTTTTCCCCTTAATAACATTCCCTTTGTTTTATACACACACTCAGTGCCTGTGAGAGGGGAAGTATAACCTGTTATGGGTGCCCAGGGAAAGTATTTGGTTTTCCCAGGTTGCTGGGTGGGGGCTCAAGCCCGTGTGTTCATTAATTTTAAGAGGAACCCCTAGGTGCCTGAGCCCAGCCCTCGCTGCTGCTGGTGGCACCTGGCAGATGGACACATGAAAAAATTAACAAGAGTTTACTCACTTCAGCCATAGGAGTAAAAAGAGGAAGAGTGCACTCGGGGAAGCTGCATGATTACCTGGCATCTGAACATGGAACATTAAGAAAATAACTTCCTTGTTTGAGGTATTTGAATTCATCACTTGCAATTAAGTATGATATGGAAATTTTTTATCTTCCAGTTGATAGCAAGCCAAGTCAAAGTCAGTCTCCCAGTAGCTACAGTAAAGCAGAAAGCCTAATGATTACTCTTAAACTGATATAAGACCAGGCAAACTGCATTGCAGCCAATTAAAGTTCACTCATAAAATGCACTGTAAATGAGCAGAGAAGCTTGCTACACTGGCACAGCAGCTTTCATTTGCCAAGTGTGACATGCAAATAGATAATCCAGGTCACAGGTACCAGACACTGAGTCTAATCTCATCCGTTTCAGTAGAATTGTTTCTAATTTGAATCGGTGCGAGAGGATAACCAAGCCATAATACATTGCAAGATATAGCCAAAGACTGAATGAATTTAACTAGCTATGGTTCATGGATGTGCAGCTGGCAGGGGAAAGGCGTTTGTGTTCATGTCCACTCAGTTGCCATTCTCAGAAACAGTGCTATTCCAAGTAAGAAATATGAAATGCCCCTTTTAGCTCAGCTGTGGAATTTGGGAACAGGAACCTGGGCCCAATGCCATGATTTTAATTGATTTCAATGAGGCCTCGTACTTAGAGGGACAAGCTTTCTGTACCTTCAGAAGGGGGGACTGCTGCTTTTCTGATGCATACATAAGACTATAATGGAGAACTTCATCAAGTGAGCTAGAAAGTGCAGGATAATTCCTTCCATACCTTCTGCTCTTGTGCTGACCAAAACCTTCAGTTTAGCCTTCAGACCTCAGTGCCTGTATTATTAAATTGTATTGTATAGGCTGGGAATTATTGTGATGATCATGAATAAATAAAGGAATTGGCAGATGGGTCTTCTATGGCCAAGGATGGAAGTTGGCCAAGGAACCAAGAGCCAGGTTGTCAGTCTGGCAAAGCATCTATTGGTTTGTTCCTTCTGCCTGAAAGCTTCCAGTCTAATTTCAAGTGACAGAAAAGTAGGAAGCATAAACAGAGGAGGAAAGGGGGAGGGAAAGATGAGGTTATGAAAATAGGACTCTGTGGTTACAGAGGTTAGTTACAGCTCACGGTGGCTCCAAGGTCATCTTATAGGCTCTTTTAAGAAAAGCAAGATTTATCCTCAACCCGCTGTTGAAGTCACTGGCTGACATCAGGACCCTCAGATCCACTGTGTGTTTTGAAGGTGGTCACTGCAGTGTCAAAAGCCAGAGATTTTGAGTGAGGGTCTCAGCAGCATAAGATAGCACAGCCCCCTTGAAGTCAGGGTAGCTAGGCCGAGGATCTGACTCTTTATGTTTATGTCAGATTTAAAACAGAACAAAACTGCAAGGTTTTGCTGACAAAGAGGTGGCTCAGCTTTTGCATAGAGAAAAACACAACACCCATTCAACAGCAACATTGCTGTCTAAGAATCTGTCACAAGCTCTTCACGTTACAAGATAGGCCTGTGGAGAGGGAAGGGTGGTGATCTGATCCGAAGTTTATGAGAGGATGAACTCACTGACATTGGTAGGAAATGCGATGTAATGGCTACCATATGGCAAGAGAAAATCAGTAGGTTTGTTACAAGAATGGCTTGAATCACAGCTGAGAAACTATTGCTAAGTGAACAGGCAGACAGAAATCATCATGAGACAGAGCCAGGCACAAGCAATTAGAAAGAACTAAATTGCCAGAAGGTATTCCCAATGAAAAGAAAATTAGCATCATCAGTAAGTGGTACCCATACTATTAGCCACAATTAAGCTTAAATCAGTCCTTTGTGAGAGTGTTTAAAGTTCTCACTTAAAGGTTTTCTGTGGATTTGGAACCGGCTAACAACATTTAGAGACGTATTTTTCATTACAGTTACAGTTAGATTTTGGCTCTAGATGTTACTGTCCTCAGTTTGTAAGGAATTGTCTTCATTGCAGAAGGGACTGGGGTCCCTAACTCAAGCTGCCCATGCAAAACATTAACTCAAACATGAGGGTTTTTTGATTCTGGTTGTCTGGCCTGTCAAGAAATATGGGCTAATGAGAACACAGCTGCTGTGGGATTTTGTGCTGGGTCTACTTGTATTGAAACGGACTAACTGGGGAGTAGAGCTGGATGGAAAGTCATTTTCCTCAGTCTCTAAAAAAATGAGATTTTTGAACAGTTTTGATTTTGATGAAAACATGCCACAATGTTTCTGACTGCCATTCCCAGACTTTCTTGCTTGTGCTCCCATTTCAATGCATGAGTAGCTATAACCAGCTCACCCCCTCCTAGGCCAGACTGCTGACCAGGTTGTGTGTTTTCCTCTGCTTTTCCACCCCCCCCCCTTTATTTATTTATTTTTGTTTAATCATTTTTAAAGTCATTTTAGTTATTTCCCTAATTCCTCTCTGTATTGCCACTCATACCAGAGGTCACGTGCTCTTCAGGGTTACAGAAAATCATTGGCTTTTGCAAACACACTTACATTATGAGACTAGAGACGCAAAGCTTGGGCCAGAAAACTGCTACATCTACTGATGCAAACTGCTCCAGCATCCAGTTTTATTAGGGACTGTTTCAAGAACAGGGAGAGAAGGAGAGTTTCAAAGAACTGCTCACACAGTACCCCATTTGAGCAAGAAAAGCCAGAGGAAATGCATAGACATTTAGCTTGTCCTGTGATTCACCTTCCTTCCCTTCTGCCTTATCCCCTCCCCTGTGCTGCTCTGCAGCAACCCTTCCTCCTGAGCTATGCAAAGCTCTACAGTGTAACAGGGAGAAAGATTTGGGCTGTTTAATTTCGGAACCGAAAAGGGGGGACACGATACGTCAAAGGACACCTATTTTACGTTCTGTCTCATGATACACGAAGCCTTCCTATTTCAAGGCTGTTTTTGAAATAGAGGTAAGGTCTAGGTCTGATCAAAGGAAAAGGATCTTGCACTGTGCAAAAGTCATCTGTGCAGTACATTGCCACAGAATTTCCCCAATGCCAAACAGTCAGTGGGATTTAAAAGGGATTAGATACTGATATGAATTATGAGAAGACGCTGTTCCATCATGAGGGATTTGGGTTTTATTTTTTTAAAAGAAACATTAGAGTAGCACATTTGAAAAGCTTTCCGAGAGGGTTATTGCATGCTGCTCTGCCAGAGGGAGGCTGAGGAGCAAGGGAGAAAAGATTAATGTCGGGGAGCTGGAAAAAGAAATTTGATTCTCATCAAAGCTGCTGCCTGTCTGCGGCGCTGGACAGAACTCAAGGTTTTGCCTTGCTCCGGAGTCTGAATCTGCTGCAGGGGGTTTATGGTGAAGGGAAAGGGAACTGAATTAGAGGAAAAGCTATAGTTAGGGCTAGGGAAAGTCATGTTGCCATGATGTATGTACCTCTCTAATGGGTCAGTTCAGTGTGTTTCAATCTAATGAAGGTCATTGTTATCATGGCGTGTTAAATCGGAGTAGTGCTTGAGACCACAAAATAACCCTGCTCACTTTGCCTGATTACAGCGTACATTTTCTCTTATTAATCAGAAGCTCTGTATTGTCTATTCCTGTAATGCTTTCAGAAATGTGTTAAGACTGATTTCTCACTCTTATTCTTATTTTTGTGTTTCCCCTGCACACAGATTGTTCCAGTCTCACTTCCTCATTGGGCAGAGTACCTTTTTACATCTATGGGGTCTTTTAGTGTCTGGAAAACAGGCTTTTATGATGAGTGATTTCATTCTTACGCTCCATTTATCACTATTTTATCTTACTAAAATGCAGAACAACAAAAAAGCAATCTAAATATACAGACTCAGCATGTATTTTTAAAAGAAATAAATACACTTTCTTGGAAGAGGGACCCATTGGGTAACTATAAATTTAGGGAAAGTTTAAAAAAAAATAAAAGCCAGACAAACAGCAATGTAATCCTGCATATATCAATAAACCTCAAATAGCTCCATTTTAGGCATACATAGCTGACGCTTGACTTAAATCCAGGCTATGTTAGAACTATATTAGTAGCACAGAATTATGGACTGCAAAATGTAGAGATAACTCCAACTGAACTGAAATTTCACATTAGTAAAAAAAAAAAGAAGAAAGCTTAAAATAAAACAGGTTAAATTGGTATCTGTCTGTGTTAAGCCACTTTAGCCCATGTATTAAGAGGATAGACAGTGCCATCAGAATAGCAAAGACTGACTTCTGGGTGTGTAACAGGAAGGAAATAATATTTTTTTGTCCAATGGAAAAAAATAGAAAGATTTGCCCACCCTGCTGCTAAAAATGCAGAATAATTATCAGCTGAGGTAAGTGCACTTCTGAACGAAATGTACACATGCTCACGCCATGCCATAAGAACACCTATTTTCAAATGGACCTTGTCATAACAGGCAGGTAAATTTTTCCTCAGGTACAAAGTTTTAAAACAAGTAAGGGTGATAAGAGTACAGATACTTCTCTTTTTGATTAAAGTTTAATGTTTCATGGGGAGCTCTTCTGTATCTAGTTAATTGATCAAAACAGCCAGAGTAAGTAGATTTTTGCTTTTTGATGCTTTGGAGTCCACTGGGATAAGCTTTAAATGTTTCTTGATTCTAAATGAGGTTAAAATGTGACAAGTGGATCTGCAGTAGTGTTTCCTACACTTCACATACAATCTCCAAACCATAACCACTCAAATCAACAGAGCCAAACTCAGAAGACCCTGCCCTGACCTGCTACAATACCAAGCCCATACCAAAGACAACCAAAACCCTGGAGTTCTCACTTGCAGACCCCAGATTGAAAACCTAAAACATAATTAATGACTTCCAAGCCCTGTTAGAACATAAGGACCATCTCAAGCTAGCCATGGGGGACCGGCCTGTCTTGCTTTGCAGGTAGCCCCCCCAACCTCAAACAATGTCTCTCCAGGAACAGACAACTTATCTCTCCAAGAACAGACAACTTAACTTCAATTCTCATCAGGCCCTGCTACAGACCCAGGTGCCAGTTATTCCCCATCATTAACACAGACAGCATCATCACTGGACTGGCAACAGGAATTATAACCTCTGGGGTTCATGCACCTGGTCTTCTACCAGTGCAATACCAACACCTGCTTCCAGTGTCCATCTGCTGTCTACCTGAATATTAAATTGCAGAACAAGAAATTATCCATAGATAGTGGACTGTATTAACCGTGGTCACAACAGGAACTATAGATTTTTATTCCAATACCTGGACTTACTGCTAACTCTGGTGTCCCTCCAGGCGTTAAGTGCTCTGTTAGTCTCAATTGCCCTAATCAACCTACTTATTACCTCTCTGAGCCGCACCCCACTACCTGTCTCTTTCCCCTCTTAACATAATATTTTCTTTCTGCCAGTCTACTCCTAGCATCTGACAAGTAGGTTGTTGCCTACAAGAGCCCATGCTTCTTTGAACCAGTTAGTCACTGAGGTGCCGCCAGTTAGTCACTGGGACACCAACCCCTGGCATTCATTCAGAGAATGGCAAGAATGGCATCCACCACTGCTGCTGGCCCAGCCACCGCAGCTGACCTGGCTCCCACCATTGACCCTACCACCACCATTGCCTGGGGCATGGATGCTGGCTGTTATGCCTCTGTCTTCTTTACCTAATTGTCACTGGTTCTGTGCCCTCTAACTTCATTTTTGGTCTTTGCAGGTTACCCCAGCACACACAAATCCTAGCTCTTCTTCTAGCCCTCAGTCCTAGCCCAAGGATTAATTGAAAGGCTTTCTCTCTTCACCCCTTATACCACCCAAGGTTGGCAAGGTCTCATAAAACCGATATCTGCTTTTTGAAGGACACCTTCTGCTACAAAATATGGCTTTACTGAGAGCCAATTAAATCTCCAGACATTGGACTAGTCATAAAAAATGAGCTATTTAGTAAATTCATATATAGACCATGTGGCTTCTGTTACTTATGTTGAATGGGGTGGCTTGGTGAAGAAGGGTAAAAGCTGCCATGTCCTGCCTTTTATTTAGCTCCTTTGGAACCTGCTAGTAAGTTTTGCTTCTGGGTCCTCCTAGTTTTTCCATACACACCCCTTTTAGACTCCTGTTTCTGTCTGTACTTTCAAAACACTTACTGGTTACTATGAAAACTAAACAGCTGGCCCATGTAGCCCTTCGGATCTCAATGCCAACTTGGCTTTTGGTACTTCTGTACATGCAATGCACTGACAGACTTTTAAAACTGAAAGGTCCTTTCACAACCAGTATAAAAACAACCCAAAACACCGCAGCCACTTCTCTAATAAGCATGAGGTACATCTGATATACTGTATAAGCCTAAGGAAGGAACCTCAACACCCCCTGTTAGCAGTTCTCAAACTTTTTGGACTCAAGGCCAGGGGTGGTGCTAGGGGGAGGCTTGGGAAGCTATAGCCACCCCAAAATTTGCCTTAGCCTCCCATAGCTGTTTCTCCTAGCATCGCCCCTGTCCAAGCCCCTTGCTTTGCACAGCTGAGCAAGTGGCAGAGGCTCAGTGCAGGGCCTTAAATGGGTATTGTTTAAAAAATAAATAAGTATCTTTGGCCAGAAGATGTATAACACAGCCCCCACAATTTTCTGCCTAGCCCACCTCAGCCCCCTCCACTGGGAAGAGGGTGGCACCCCTCACTGGACTGAAGGGAGCCCTCCATAATTTTTGTAAGTTTATGGCAATTTCAAAAGCTATTTTATTTATTACATCATTATTTATTCCATCTTTCTGAGTCTTTTTCTTGTCTTCCCAGTCTCCCCCATCTTGCTTACCCTCTTTTTGCTTCCCAGCCAGAAAGGAAAAATGTTGTCACATAAGTAATTTAAAAGCATCAATTAAACCTTTGAGTTGCTGAATGAAAAACATCTCAAAGCATTTCTTTCCCAAATAGCTGCCCATGAATACAGCTAAGTGTCCAAATAAGAGATGACATCAGCTACAACATTTGGATCCAGTCCTGAACTTTTCCATGAGGGAGACATGGATCTAAGGACTTGGTTCTTTTGGTCCTAGAATGAGGGTTATGTCAGAAAGTTCAGATTCAGATCTTGACTTTTTGCAAAGGTTGGAAGATGGCCGAGATCCGGATGACTGGTTTGATCATCTCTATATATCAAATATTGACTCTTTAAAAAGTTTTCACATTTTCCAATATAAGGACTTTTTCCAAGTCTTTATCCACTCCAGTGTCCAAGGCACAAGAGGTATCTTTCCCAACATAAATATTTTCTTGTATTCATAAGTACATGAAGACACATAAGCCATTAATCATAAAGATCAACAGTGGTTAAGAAATAACTAACTTCCCCTCAGGCCTGAGCCACATATAGGCTATTTCCTCCAAGAATAATCTTTCTAGAATTTATTGAGACTAATATTTATTTTTATTGTGGTAGCCCCCACAGGAAGCCAAGATAAAAGTCTCTACTGTGGTAGGCATTCCAGGGAGGGACATGAAGCCAGGCCTAAATTAATATGTACACAAGACCAAATAAGTGCAAAGTTATCAAAGAGTAACAAAGTTATCAAAGAGTAACAATGAGAGGAAAATTTACCTACACAGATTATATAGTTATCTAACCAATCTGAGGATTCCAAAACTTTAAAGTGGTCTTATTTCTAACAGGCATAGGCCAGATCCAGATGTCACACTCATACTGGCATAAATGATTGGAAACCGGTCTACAGCCGTAACCAATCAGAAGTTCAGTGCACATATACCAGTTTAAAAATGGCAGATTCCAGTATAACATCAACCTGGATAGATGTAGCTGATACTACATCTATCCAGGTCGATGTTATACTGGAAATTGTAGCAATTTAAGTTAGATTGGTCTATTGAACTTCTGTACCAGATCCCCTCTTGACACTAGTTAGGCTGCAGTCTGCCAGCATCCCAGGTGCCTTAATCCCTCCGCCCCCACCGGCTCCCCCTCCTTCGCACAGAAGCACACTGCAAGTTGGTTCATGGTTGGCTGCTCAGCTGCAGGTGCGGGGAGGGGAAAGAAGGGAAGGGGGCACCTGTAGCTCTATGTTTTTTTTATCTTTATACAATATTCCAAGGTGGGGGGGGGGAGAGGAAGGTACTTTACAGAAAGAAGGATCAGGCCTCTTGGAGTACAAGTGGGCAGCAGCAGGAGGTCAGAGCAGGGTAGACAGAGTGAGCAAGCTGTGGCTGCAGGCTACTGTGCCCTGTGTGCACAGGATCATGGGGAGAGGAACTGCAGCCACCACTGCTTCCCCACGCCACTGCCACTGCCACTGCCACTGCTGTGTGGGTCTATGTGTGTGTGTGCACACACTACACCTTATGTGCATGAGACCACAGGGAGGGAAGCTCGATCTGCTGCCTCCTCCCTGTGGCACTGTGACTACCACTGTGTGTGTGTGCGCATGTGTGTTCATCCCGCCAGGCCCTTAGAGACTATACCCTGCACACCAGAGGTTTCTGTTGCTTACAGGGGTTTTTAT